ATTAATTAGTTTAAAATTGAAATTTTTCTAATTATTTATTTTCTACCTACACAATCATTTTTAATCCTTAAAATCTAGCAAATATTTCCTAAAACTAGCAAGGGAGGTCCAAAAGTATGAGCATGTATAGGCTTAATATTTTTGGCCATACTATATAAATTTTGAGATAATTATTTTGTTAAGTTTGTATTTTAATTATCTTCTTTAAATTCTTTATTTCCTTCATTCCTATTTTCCGTCTCACAAAGATTTGATCATACAATTTATTTGCCTAAAATCCTCCTTGATTATTATCCAAGCAAGCTTACTTGCCATCTTCCATTTCATGATCAAGGTACTTACATTAATTCTTTATTTCATAATCACCATAGACTAAACCTTCCTTAACTCTTAAACTCTCTTTTCCAAGTAATGCCTTACACCAAAATTACCATAATTCTGCTTACAAAATCTTACCTTAATTATTTCATTCATTAGCCTATAAATACCCCCTCTTACCTCTCATATTCTTCACACCAAAATCCAATTCTCTTCTTCTCTCTAAATTTTCTTTTCCCTCAACCTTTTCCTACTTTTCTTCTCCTCTTTTCTAAAAGAAAATCAGCCTATATACTTTTGGAGCTAATTTTCGGGCACTTCTGATCAATTTTGGACTTTTCTATTTCATTGAAGATTGTTCCTCTTAAAAATCCTTGAGGTTAGGCTCAAGAACCATCCAATTCGGAGATATATTGAAGGAGTTATAGCCTCTGCAAGTTCTGCTTATTCTTCCCAATACAAATCCAATTCTCTTTAATCCTATTCCTTTATTTTCTTCATGGTTAGTTTTCTAAAACATAAATACTTATTTAAAAGTTACAATTTTATATTAAAGTATGATTTTTTAAAGATTTTTATATTCCATGCACATTAGATTTGGGTTTATGCCTAAAGATGTTTTGATAACCTTATGGTTATTTTAATTGCAAGGTGTATTCGTGATTGAACTTTGAAAGTACAAAGTGTTGATTGAGATTCAGAATCAGGGTACGTTTAGGTGGCTACATACCTTCGAAATTGATTGGTTTGAATATCAAGTTTTATATGATTTTATTGGTGATTCAATTAAACTGATTTGATTTATGATCTATGAAACAAAGTATGTTTGGAGGTTGATTTTAATATATGTTTTAATAAATATATTTGAAGGATTGATTTTAATATCATGTTTTGATGGTTTGAATTACTTATCATGTTTAAATAAAGGAATTGAGTTGAAAAGCTTGTTGAATCAAATAAAAGGTTTTCAAAGGAAGAGTTATTGATTTTGAAAAGTTATTAATATGAGATTTAATTCTCAAGTATTTATAAAAAAGTTGATTTTGAAAACATTTTGAATTGAATAAAAAAAGGAGTTTTGAGTTAACCTATTATAAAGGTTGATTTTATTCAAAGAGGAATTTATGAGAATTATTGAATTATTATTAAAGCTTTACAAGCATGATTATTATTTATATTAATCCCACTATGTGATAAGACTATGGACTTTGTATGACCTAGTCTTTCCTCAAGGATAGCCTTTCAATATAAAGATACTAACTTGGGGGGTGTGCACACCTAGGAGAGGAATTGGTTTTTTAAAAAGAGGATTTATAAATCATTACTATTGAAATTATTGAGTTATTGGAATTGGTTTTGAATTATGAGTTTGGAGTTATTTTGAGAAGTTGAGAAATGGTTTTGAATTATGAGTTTAGAATTATTGGAATTGATTTTAAAAGCATGTTTTCTAATAAATTGAGTTTACATTATCTTGCACTTATCGTACTTAGCATATTTTGCTAATCCGCATTTCCTATTTGTCTTGGTTCGCCCTGTTTACCTTAATGGTAAGCAGTGTTGACTATTTTCAGGTGGAGTCATGTATGAGCATATGGGAGTCCTGGGATTTGATTCACCTAGTTTAGGAACACTGGTTTTGTCTTTATTTTAAGTACTCATAACAATTTTACTATTTTTATAAGTATTAATAAAAGAAAGTTGATTGAGTTTTCCGCTGCAAGTTTTGTTTGAGTTAAGTATTTTGAGTAGTCTTGCGTAATCACGCGGCAGTAATACGCCTAAGTCTATCTCTATGGTATAATTATACGTATTATACTAGTATTTTCATAGAGGGAGATTTGGGGGTGTTACAAAGTGGTATCAGATTTTCCGATCCTAAAATGATTAATTTGGAATAAAATAAAAATTGTAGGTAGACTTAAGAGGATATAAAGGATAGAATTTCGCATTTGTGTGTGAAGGTCAAAAGTATTATTTTTTAAAAAATTGTAGGTAGACTCAACCACCATGGCTAGTACTATTATCTCTTTCCCATTTACTTAAAGTTCAAATGTATGAACCTCATTTTAAGAGATATGGGGATGTGGTTAAGGATGACGGGTTTTGAGAATGAGAAGCACCATCATGGAAAGTGGCTAGCAACCTGGACTCAATTCAAAAGTGACCTGTATTACATTAAACGTGACTGTGAACCTAGGAGAAGAGTTGTAAAACCACCATAGTTGGGGAGAACCAAACCTTGAAAGAATGTGATCAACTTCATTACTTGAACTTCTAACTATCTTTTGTTTATCCAAGACTTCACAAGGAGTTTGTCTCCTCCATTGATGAATCCATACCACCTTTTAAAACGCATAATAATTATCCTTCTCCTTCTCCTACCTCATATAGAGGTCAAAGCCCAAAAGCCAATTTTCATATTGCAAAAGGCCTAAAGTTCATGATGCTTCATATTCATATAAAAGATTACCAAGCCTAAAGTATCATCCACCTTTTCTCAAAAGGTCCAACGTAATTTCTTGTAAGCCAATTTGCGGACGTGCTAGCCCACACTATAGCCCAATTAATATTCCTAATCAAACCTCAAGCCATGCTTTAAAATACAAGTGATTACAACCACCCAACTAAAAATCCTACTATACTTTGCGTAGTTATTAAAACTGATGGTAAGGTAAACTATAATGATCCAGATTATGATCCTTCCAAAGAAGACTTTTATTATGAGAATTTAGATTAAGTGGTTGAATTACTTTTATAGGGTTTCAATAAATGTCTTAAGTGAAGTAATTATTGTTTCAATAAATGTCTTAAGTGAAGTAATTATTGTTTCAATTTTTTTCTATGTTTTGGAATAAATTAAGTGTTTTAATGGTGTATTCCTTTCAATTTTCAAGTATGGTATGAATAACCAGGGATTATGTCTTTAAGAGTGGGAAATAGGCGATCTGGTTCCAAAGTAGGCAAAGTCCTTAGGAAGTTAACCAACATAGCTGAAAACATCACGCTAGTGGTGAACCAAGGAAATTGTCATATTCACTTGGATTCTTATAGTGAAACCTTTAAAAGGATATACGCAGCTAAACCACATGTGTACTTGGAAAAGGAGGACCCAGCCACTCTTGAAAACTAGATTAGGGAGTTTGACAAGCTGTTTAATGCCATCAATTGCCCAAGTGAGTTGAGGGTGAATAATGGTGCTTATTATCTAAGGGAGGAAGCTGACTTATGGTTGACCCAAAGGAAGGATGAGTTGTTGAAGAGACCTAACTTTGGGTGGGATGAGTTCAAAGAAGCCTTGAGAGAGAAGTATTACCTAGCCTACCTAAGAAAGAAAAAGTGTATGGAGTTCACCAATCTCAGGATGGGAAGTATGTCTATCAATGAGTATTACAACAAATTCATTGAACTAATGAGGTTTTGCACCTGAAGTTATCCCAACTGAAACTATCAAAGCCTAGAGGTTTGAGCAAGGCCTAACCTTAACCCTTCAAGGGAAGCTAAGGGGGTGACTTTTGAAACCTTGGATGAAGTGTATGGTCATGCTACCCATTTGTACGGGATTAAGGGAAGGGAGAATGAGAATTCTGAGGGAGAGAAAAGAAAGAGTTTTGAGTCTGTTCACGGAGGTGAAAAGGAACACAAGCCAAATGGGAATTCTCAGGGGAATGGAGGTATTAATGGAAGGAGGGAGAATAGGGGAACTTTGGGAAGGGAAATGATGGACAAGAAACCAATGTTTGAGGAAATGGGGATCAAGGAAACAGTGAGAAATCCAAGAGATTGTATTTTTGTAGAAGGTGTGACAAGAACCACCCTAGGAAAGATTGTGAAGGTAATCTGGTGACAAAGCTGGGACACCATGAATATGAGTGTTTCAAGAAGGAATCAGATGTCAAGGCAGGGAAAGTTCAAGAGAGTAAGCACCCATTCAAGCCATCTAAACCTAGTGGACCACTGGAGGGAATGTTTATAAGGGGTGGCGTGTTTTCGTAGTGAATAGTTGTGAACGTGAAAGCTTTGAATGATTTGATATGTTTTCTATGTTGTTAGAATTTTAATTGGTTCAAACTTTTTGAATCATTCTATACGACTCCCATTAATAAAAGTTGAATTATAAAAGCATTTGAATTTTCAAATTCAAGTGAAGTTTTCATGAGAAACATAATTGTCTAAATTCTGAGTGCATGTTGAAGTTTCACGGAATTTTAATTTCAAGGTGGAAAGGTACATATTTAATTATATCAAGTGGAAGTTGGAAATAATTATTTTCATGTGCAAATCATGAAATTGTGCATATATATAATTTACATGGTTTATATGACGGAATATATGAATTCCAAAATTATTGGTGGAATAAGAATTATCTAATGAGTGTTCCTAATGTTGGAATTGGTATATAATTTCCTTTTATGGAAATAGATGGGTTTATGTGAAATATATGAATTCATCTATGACACTATCAACATCAACTTCTTTCAAAAGATCGCTTTCGATTGCCATCAATGCAAGCCCATTTACCCTCTCTTGCGACATAGTAGTTCGTAAGTATGACTTTAACAACTTCAATTTAGAAAAGCTTCATTCTGCGGATGCAACAGTAATAGGAATTGTCAATAATACTCTATATGAAATTTTTGCATTAGGAAAGCAAGTAAATCGTTTCAAAAAATTTAATAAGTCTACTGCTCCCATTTTTGCTTAGGTAAAAGCTCCCTGACTAATTTTAGTTCAACAAACAGATCACTACCATTAATATCCGATGACTCACCATTTTTAAGAGCATCTTCAAAATGTATACAGCATGATTGGAGCTCATTATCATCCATAGAAATTAACTTATCAGAATTAAATAAGAAACCAAAAACATTCTCATATAATTCAAAATGTTCAAACCTCTTCTCTAATGATGCAATAGCTTTATCTACAATATATAAAAAGTATTGAATTCTAAATGTTTCCTCTGGAGATAATAATGTTTCCTCACCATTAATCTTATCAAAATGCCTTTTTCTCCGTATAATACGTGTTTGAGGAAACACCGGATCAATACCAATTTTATTTGCTATGTCTTTGGCAATGTTCATAGCACCTGAAAAACCATTTTCTCTATACTTTTTAAGAAAAGAAATCAGCCCTTTAATCTCACTTATAGCAACATCAATGAGCATATCTATAGATTGTAATTGTTTGCTAACCAAATTCACAACATGTAAAATTTCATACCAAATAACTGTAGCAAGTAAAAATTCAAAACTACCAAGCTCATTTTTTGCTAAGGATTTAGCTTCACTTTTAATCATATTATCATTATCTACTTGAGCTACTTCAAGTAAGGCTTCTCGTATGTCAAGAATTTGAAATCGTATTGCTTTAATACATTCAACACGACTTTCCCACTGTGTGGCTGACAATTATTTAACGGTTAATCCTTTAACATTTTCTTTTAAAATATGCCACCTCTTTGTAGAATTAGCTAATAAAGTATAAATACATTGAACAATTCTAAAAAATTCTCTTGCTTTACTTGAAGTATTTGCTATGTCACACAAAACTAAATTCAAACTATGACATCCACATGGAGTATAAAATGCTCTACGATTCAAATCCAAAAGCCTTTTATTGTACACCTTGATTCTTACCTTTCATGTTAGACCCATTGTCATATCCTTGCCCTGTAACATCATCTATATCAAGATCATAAGTATTTAACACATTTTCTAACACCTTAAAAAGTCCTTGACCACTTAAATCATTAAATTGCAAGAATTCAATAAAAACTTCACAAACTTCAAATGAATTAGAAGAACCATCAACACACCTTGATATGAGGGACATTTGTTCTTGATGACTAGCATTGAGTGTAAAATCCAACATCACAGAAAAATATTTTGCTTCTTATATTTTCTTAATAATATTATTTCGAATTCTAGAAGAAAGCAATAAAATCAACTCATTTTGAATATCATGAGTAAGATAATGATGATGAACTTTGCCACTATTAATACGCTCAACATGCTCTTTCATTAAGGGTCCAAACTCAGCCAACATTTCAATCAAACCAAGAAAGTTTCCATTGCTATTTTCATACAACTTGTCTTTTTTTCCACGTAATGCAAGATTATGTATAGCAAGATACTTCACAATGGCAATAATTCTAAAAATAACACTTTTCCAATACTCCTTTTCTTTTCTTAATTTCTCTTGAGCAAATTTGTCGATTGTTTCACTTTGTTGCAACCTAAGTCGTAGTTCACACCATGTTGCCATATATAACACATGATCGACACTAGTTTCATGTTCTTTAAGTCTAGTACTTAGATGTATCCAATCAATAAAACCTTCATTAGCTAAACTACTTCTACAAATACCTTTTTTTTTAAAAAACGTTTACAACAAAAACAAAACACTTTATCAAGTTATTTAGAATAAACAAGCCATTCTCTATCACAAGTTTCTCCATTAGGAAAAATTCTAGTATAAAAGGCCGAAGAAAATCTTCGAGAGGATTTATCTTTAGGGCCTCTTACTAAGGTTAAGTCTCTTTTAAGGCCATTTATCGCCAAAACATCAATCATATTCACATCAAGACCATCCCAATTTATTGGGTCATAAATATCAAAATTGATATATTCAACTTGTTCAACATGGTCATTATTTTGCTCATTGTCTTCTGAAATTCTAGTATACTCCTCATTAACATTATCAATATTAGCACCATCAGCATTTACGCAATCAACATTTACTCCATCATTTACACCATCAACATTTACGTAATCAAATTGCTCAACATTATCATTAATGTCAACAAATTGTTCAACATTATCACCATCATCATTAACATTATAAAACTCTTCTTGATTAGTAGACTTTTCACTTGCTTAGGGATCCTTCAAAATAAACTTATCTAAAGCACCTTTTTGAGATTTGATCAACTGTTCTACTCTTTTCTTTTTTTTTTCCCGTTTTTCATGACCTGATTGATATTTTCGAAACATAATTGAAATAAAAAGAAAGGGAGATAAGATAACACTGGTATATTGCAATGCCAATTAGCAAACTAGCCAAGGGATTAAACAATTGTTGAGCTTTGGATGCAAAATTTTGACAGCCTGTTAGATATATAAAGATAAATCAATTTGAGTAAATGATAAATCAATTAATCAAACATAAGGAAATAAAAAAATACAAACTTAATTATAGTTTAAACTTACCAAGAGTCCACAATACAAGAATTTTAGATAATTAGATGTTTAGATCTTAGATCAAACTAGCAAAGACCCAAGAAAGAGTAGAGAGAGAGAAAATAAAGAGGGGAGAGAAAATAAATAAAAAGTGATTGTTGAATGGAATTATGGAAATAACAAAGTAAAAAGTGGTTGTTTCCTAACTATTTAGAAAATGGACATTACAAAATATTGTAGGATAATTGTACAGCCAAAAAAATAAAAAATAAAAATAAAATAAATGGAGTACAGCTATATAGAAAAAAGAAACAAATTTTTTTACATATCCCAAGAGTCGAACTAGGGATTTCCGGAATACATTGCTCAGCCTTTACCATTGAGCTACCAACTTATTTCTATATATTTACCTTAAGTAATAATAATATATATCGTATTTTGGGGCCCCTTATTTTTAGGGGCCCTATGCGGCCGTACCGATCGCACCGCCCAAGCGTCGCCCCTGGCAAGGAAAGGCGACTGATTTCAAAATACATGATGATGGAAGTATACGATTTAAGGGGAGATGGTGTGTACCACAAAAGTGCTAGGAATTAAAGAAGAAGTTGATGGAAGAGGGACACAATACACCCTATTCAATAATCTAGGAGGAGATAAGCTTTATAAGGATTTGAAAAAGGTGTATTGGTGGCCTACGATGAAGATGGAAGGGGCAGAATTTGTAGCTAAATGCCTAACCTGTCAGAAAGTTAAGATAGAGCATAAGAGACCACTAGGAACAGTGCAACCACTCGAGATCCAAGCATGGAAGTGGGATTGCATCTCGATGGATTTTACAACTATCCTACCTAAGTCAAACAATGGAAATGATACAATCTGGGTTGTGGTGGATAGACTTACCAAATCGACAGTGTTTATACCAATGAAAGAGACTTGGAAAATGGAACAACTTGCAAAGGCTTACATCAAAAAGGTTGTGAGACTACATGGAGTTCCTAAGGATATTATTTCTGATAGAGATTCTAGGTTTCTTTCGAAATTCTGGAAAAGTGTTCAAGAGAACTTTGGTACGACATTGAAGATGAGTACAATATTCCACCCTGCAACGGATGGACAATCTGAGAGAACTACCCAAACCTTGGAAGATATGTTAAGATCATGTGTTTTATATTACCAAGGAGGATGGGAAGATAGCTTAGACTTGGTAAATTTCTCTTACAACAATAGTTACCATGCAAGTATTGGCATGACACCATTTGAGGCCTTGTATGGAAGGAAATGTAGAAGTCCACTATGTTGGAGCAACATTAGTGAGACAATAATTGTAGGTCCTCAAAATAAAAGAAACCACGAAGCAAGTGAGATAAATCCAAGCTAAGATTCAAGCTGCTCAAGGTTGGCAAAAGAGTTACGCGGATTTAAAGCGTAGAGAAGAGGAATTTCAAGTTGGTGATGAGGTATTGCTTAAGGTTTCACCAATGAAAGGAGTTATGAGATTTGGAAAGAAAGGGAAATTGAGTCCAAAGTACGTTGGACCATAAGAGATTTTGCAAAGGATAGGTAAAGCTGCTTATAGATTGGCATTGCCTATGGACCTTAGTAAGGTACATGATGTGTTTCACGTTTATCAGTTGAGAAGGTACATCCTAGACAAGTCGCATGTCCAACAACCCGAAACAATAGAACTAGACCAAAGCCTAACCTATGAAGAAAAACCTGTAAAGATTCTTGATAGTAAAGTGCGTAGTACACGCAAGAAGGATGTAAAGATAGTAAAGGTTTTGTGGTCGATCCTAGAAACGGAGGAAGCGACATGGGAAGCTGAGGATGAAATGAGAAAGAAGTACCCAGAATTGTTTGAGGTTAGTTGAGTTACGGGGTCGTAACTTGATTTCTTTATAGGGGGGTAGAATGCGGTAGAATTTCGCACTTTTTACCTTCATCTCAAGCATTTTTTGTGCATTTTTAGTATATTTTGCACAATTTTATACAAAGTTTAGAAAAAAAGGTTACAAAAAGTACAACAACTATAAGTATTAAGAAATTTTTTTACTAAGTGGGTGAAAAAAAATGCAATTCTTAAAGTGACAAAAAGGTTACAAAAAGTACAACAACTATAAGTATTGAGTATAATTTACTGACACATTTTGTTTTGCACTTTTTGCTACTTTTGTAGTGACATTCTTAAAGTGCTTGGCCTTATTTAACTGTATCAACAGGTAATGAATCACTAAATTCCTATATTCTACCCTATTCCTGATGTTTGCAATCTTTAACTACCTATTTTCTGTTATAAGAATTTTCACCTCAAGTCTAGGCATTTTCTGATATAGTAGGATACCTTTTGCAACCAAACTAATTTTTCCAATATGTTATCATTGATCTATCTTTATAATAGTTTATGGCAGTGAATATTCTGTTTTCCAAAAAAATAAATACAATTTATTAACATATTCTGTTTTTTAATTCTTTGTTTCACTTGCAGTGCTGCAGCAACATATTTCTGATTCTGGAATTGCAAAAACAGAAAGGTCTTTGCTATTTTGGTTTAGCACATATATGTGTGTGTGTGTGTGTGTGTGTGAGTGTGTGCAACGTAGGGAAAACTAGGTCGTTGACTAATCCTCCCTAGAGCCAAACAAAATTTATAATCACTTAACAAACCTATATACAAGTATAGAGGTAAGTCAAGGGTCGAACCACTAGAAACGGTTATGCTTAAGTGTTTCCAATGTGCGCCTAAGCTAGATCGAAGTCAAGGGTGAAGAACAGAGTAACCAATACTAATCATCTACCAAATAAAAGAAGCAAACAAATGAAACACTAGGGAATGGGGATCAACAAGTAATCAAGAAATTTGCAACAACTTGGAAAGGTTAAGCTAATCAATGGTTGTGAAAACTAATGCTATCAATTGGAATCAAAGAGCTATCTCCTAATCGTTAAGCTAGGTTTCCTCTATGAATAACAAACTAGGAGAATAACAATCCAAACCAATCAACAATTACAAATCCTAAATCAAGTGGTCATGTCATTAGGAATCACAATGTAATCTAGCATAGTTCTCAAGGCCTAATCAAACTTCACACATGCAAACTTATATTAATCATTTTAATCTCAATAATCAATCTGCAACATGATTCCCAAATCAATCACAATCAATCAATCATACAAGTTTTACCCAAACCTTAGCAAAACAACTACTCAATAATCATCATCTAGTCAACAAGCAAGTAAATGAAATCAAGAATCAATAAATATGAAGAACAACTACAATAATCAAGTTTCAATCATCAAAACCAAATCAAACAAATATGAAATTAAACAAAGCAATAAGATGAGATAGAGTTAGAAATGCTCATTGATAATTGAAAAGATCTTCAATACAATTGTCACCCTTGCATCATCAATCTCTCAAATAACCATTGAAATCTCTCACTTTCTCTCTCTAAATCTACTCCTAAAACTAACCCTAAAACTAGAGAGAGAAACTCTCAACCTCGCTAAAATTATGAGAAAAATAATGTCTAAAAACTTCTCAGAAAAATCGGTTATAAAAAGGTATTTACATGAGGCGGGAATATGAATTCGAAATAACCCGGAAAACAGGGAAACGTGCCCGCGCAAGAGCTGCGTGCCCTCACTGCGCTTGGTGTGCGCGCCCGCGCATGTTGCTTACGCACCCGCGCATGTGGCTTGCGCGCCCGCGCTCTTTTGGGTTCCTTCGACGCTTTCTAGCTTCGTGCCCTCGCAAATGGGTCTTTGTGTGCGCACGCAATATCTTCATGATAGTCACCATGTATGGCAGATTCAAATGAAGTTGACAGTGGGTTCAACATCATGATCTCATGAGAGCGCGACTTGAGAGCACAAGAACTAGAACTTGGAGCATGCCACTTTCTTATTTCTCGAGCTTTCCCAATGCTATAAGCTTGCTCCAAAGGCGTCTTCCAACTTGGTAAGCCTCCAATATCAAGACTCAAACCTCGTACAATACCTATAACCACGTAAAGAGAACAAATAAAGGAGAAAACACTAGAAAATCCACAAAAGTGGACAAAAGCACAAAATAAGAAAGAATAAAGAAACTAAAGAGAAAATAAACAAAACCAAGCATTTATTTAGAAAGAAAGCTATAAAAAGAAAGTAAAAACAACCTAAAAACTCATCAAATGAAATGGCACTCATCAAATTCCCCCAAGCTAAACTTTTGCTCATCCTCGAGCAAAACAAAAGCAAGCAAAGGAAAATGATGAGCTTATTCAAACAAACAAAAGAAGAGGGGAGATGAGAATATACACTAACTCACTTTCGTAGGAATCACGATTGTTTTTTGCTACAACAAGCCCTTAAATCCCCAAGTCGCCATTGAGGACGAGTGAGGTCTCATAAGGGTTTCCTAAGAGTTTACCCCATAACTCTCCCAAACCTAACAAACAAGGCAAAGCATGAAAAGGAAATCAAAAGAAAAGTAAAGAACACATATGCTAGAAAGGACTTTTGCAAATGAACAAGCACAAATGGATGCAATTCTTTCTAGCAAATAAGGGAGTGCACGTTTCAAGATATCCAAGGTTGATTGAAACATAAAATATGCTAAGTATAGAGAACTAATAAGATACAATTCACCTTCATCCCAAACAATCTTACCGCGTTCTCCCTACTAGTTTCAAATCCACCTCTTGTGAGCATCTCAATGATTCCTCGAAGGAACCCGAAAAGAAGAGATTTTAAGGCTACTCAACATCTTGACTATGCAAACCGCTCTATAGGCTTGACTCCTATCTCCCTCCACCGACTTGTGACTCAACCATAAAGATCAAAAGGTCTTGGAAAGGGTTGTAAGGTATGGGCGAAGATGGTAAAGGTAGTAGGCTAAAATTTGAAATTTGGTGGTATACCTAATTTGTGAAGCAAAGGGTGATCAATCCTCAACACCATAATCAAGTAATCACCAAACAAAAACACCAACACCCCCAAGCTTATTCAAAGCAAAAATCACAAAGATATATACAAAAAATGTAAGAACGCTTCCCCCTAAGCTTAAATGGAGCATTGTCCTCAATTCTATAAACTAGGGAGATCACACTTACATCAAAATAATTTTTATGCTTTTTATTTTTTTTCTTTTTTCTTCTTCTTTTTCTTTTTTTTTTCTTTTTTTTTTAATTTTTGCAGCATTTGCTTTTGCTCTTTATTATACTTTATTGCTTTGTCCTCGCCTCTTTTAACTATGGACGACTTTGTCAACTTCCATTCACCTTTATTCACACACTTTATATACAACACATACTTGCTTAGCAATAGAACCAAATAACCATCTCATATTCCCATAAGCACCAACAATCTATGGACCAATTGCTTCACAAAATCCAAAGAT